AAAAAAAAAAAGTCTGCTCCTCTACTCTTTATGATCTTAACAGCCACTGGCATTCAATGCTATCATTCCTTCTGCATTTATTATCTAGAATACTCCTATAAGGAAAAACTCTCCTTTACTATCTGGTTACCTGGAGTACAGTTTCTCAAAGGAAATGCTAGACCTTTGTTTACCAATTTTCCAAATGAGTTGGCTCACCTGATTCCTACAATTAATTATTTGTTATTGTTCTAGTATCACTGTGATCTCATCGATTTAAGTACCTTTGATGTGTTTCAATTCATGTTAGTTGTTATTCTTATTTATGCTCGAATTGTCCTACCTTTGGCCAGTGGGAGCCAAGTGGCTCCTGGAAATGTTTGACCTTGCTCTAGTGGTCTCTGATAACTCCCTTATTACCTGGTATAATATGATGATCCAAATTAATCCTGTACATCTCTTGTTCCAGACCTGGACTCAGCCATTCCTTGAAGGAGCTGTGGTTTTTAAGTACATCTTTCTCACTAATGTTTAAAATGGAAAATGAACTAATAATTTTTAGGTGCCTTCACTGGTATATCATTATAATGAAACCTTGTATGTGTTACATATTTTATATTTTAAAACTCTTTCAACTACGTAATCCCCAAATAACCCTAATGCTCAGAATGCTACTCTTCTGGCTCTCTACTGCTGCAGACACTTTCTCTCACAGTTCTGTGAGTTGACAGGGATCCGCTGGATGGCACTAAGAGTCTCTCATGCAGGTCCTCACTCATATGTCAGGCACCTGGGTTGGGAAAGTTGGAACAAAGGGCCTGGCAGGGTCTCTCTCTCCCTCCACATGACTTCTCCCTGAGACCAGCTTGAGCTTTTTCTTCCATGAGGTGGCTGACTTCCCTTAGAGCAAGTATGGAAAAGGATCGGGTAGAAGCTGTAAGGCTTCTTATGACCTAGTCTTAGAAGTCTCAGAACATTACTTCCCCACATTGTGCTGGTCAGGCAAGTCCCTAGGACCCATTCAGATTCAAGGGGAAAAAGAGACTTAGTCTCAGTGGCAGGAGTAGCAAAGAATTTGAGACCATTTCAAGAGACTCATTGCTATTCTAGGTTAAAGCTAAAAGAACTGTGGCTCCAAAAGATTAAGAGACTCACTGTAGAGCAGGACAGAGGTTTTCCAATGTCCAGACCAGTAGTAGTCTTTTCACTATGCCATGGTGCCTCGCCTAATGTAGTACCTATTTCTCTGTTCATTCTGGCATAGAGATGTGAGTGGCAAGGGGGAACCTGTCGAGTAAGTTCTGTGCCTTCCTAAATTGTTCTACTAAGTTTGAGAAACTTCAGTCCAGATGGAGATGTTGTTGGCAGCATGGAGGTCCCTAGTTACCTCCCCCCACCTTGTATAGACATGGGTAATTTCATTGTTATAACATTTAAGCAGCCAAATACGATCTTTGCCTAATTTATTACTTTAGGACTATTTTAATACATTGTGTTTTAATTAGCATTCATGTCACAGGGTTGAAATTCACACCCACATAATTGCTCACATACTTTAGTCCTAGAATTTTCCTTATTTCTCAAATTGATTTTAATATCTCAAAGAAATAACATGCAGGTAGAAATACTTGCTTTTAACTCATGAGACATTGAGATACCTGTTAACTAGGCAGGTTAAACTGAGGCATTAGTTAACATGTTTCTTTGGCTCATGAAATGATGGTTCCTTTACCTGGAACTCTTTTGATTTATCATCCCTTCTCTAGGATTGACATGTATGTAGAGGCCTTGAAGGATCTGAGTGACATGATTATGTTTTTTCCACTCTCTCTGCCTGGAGAGAAGGCGATGAATCTTGAATACATCCTTGAAAGAGCCACTACAAGATTCTTCCCTGTCTATGAGAAGGTAAGTGACAAACGTCTGCCCTGCTCTATGAGATGGATCAAGGAGGAGAAAAAACAACTAAACTGAAAATAAAGAATGTTATTGGTGGATAAAGTTCCCAAAAACACTTTGTGAAAGCAAAATTCTTCCCCCAATTACAGTTATAAGACAAACCTGCCCTTCTTCCTCTCACCCTGGTCTTCTGCATTATATATTTTTAAAGATTTTATGCATAATTCCAGCAATATTCGTAGTTCTAGTGCTGACAGAATTTCAGTTACTTGATTTGATTATGGAATAAAACAGAGTCTTATAAAGAGGATTCCCAAGGGAAAATTCCACACTAATTAGAGAGGAGGGGGTGGAAAGGATGGATATTACTTCTAAAATACACTGGATAGTACAGGGCCCAGGACAGTTTATAAGGCTTATCAGAATTCTACACAATATTTTAAAATTAAGTTAAGAAACAAATTGTTATAAAAATAACACTATTTTTCATCTGTCCCCACATTTTTAACAGCTGAAAATAATGTCTGAAAAGCTTGAGCTTTAAGCAAATACTTAGTGCCAGTCCTAACACAAGGGTTGGTTGACTTCTTTAGTATCAGTGCTCTTAACCTACAGCTGCATTCATTATATCAGTCAACATAGGCAAGCATCATGAAAAATGTTAGGGGTTTGGTAAAAATGAGACAGATCAGTTTTCCAAACCTAACAGCAATGTTGGTTTAATCCATCGTTTCTGGGTTGAGTACCAATGGTTGTAATTGAAGGATTTAGTACATACATTGAAATATATTTATATCAACAATTTTACAGCTTAATCATATAATGTAGATTATTTGACATTTATGTATTATGTATAGATGATTGATACTCTAACTTCCTAGGTTATACTTTTTCATGTATTACATTAGGTGAGTTATCAGTCCCCTTGGTCCAAGATGGAAGATGAATCAAACTGAATAGTCTATACCTCAGACTTTCTCAGTATCATTTGTTCAAAATCATTTAAAAGATAGTCTACGGGGCACCTGGATGGCTCAGTCAGTTAAGTGTCCAACTTCAGCTCAGGTCATGATCTCACGGTTTGTGAGTTCGAGTCCTGCATTGGGCCCTGTGCTGACAGCTTGGAGCCTGCAGCCTGCTTCAGATTCTGTGTCTCCTTCTCTCTCTGCCCCTCCCCAGATCACACTCTGTCTCTCTCTCAAAAATAAATAAATGTTAAAAAAAAATTTTAAATAATCTATTCTGGTGTAATTAGCATATAATTTAAGAGATTTTTATCCTACAGTTTTACCAATAGTGGCAATGGAATCGATGTTTAACACCGCTATTCCCAGGACTTAAGTGTTTGTTGTGGGATACTATGAAAAACAGAGACTTCTCTGGTGGTTAAAAATAGTATCAACAACATCATCACCACCAAAACAATGCTAATCCTATGATGGCTCATTTTTGTTTTGTGCTTACTTTGTGCCAATCACTGTTCAGTACATTTTGCATGCATGATTCCATGTAATCTTCATAACTCCATCAAAGATGTGCCATTGTTATCCTCATTTTGCAGATGAGGCAACCAGAGCTTAAAGAAGCAAAGTAACTTGCCCAGTGTCATACAACTAATAACACTGAAGCCTACGGTCAGGTCTCTCCAACTCCTGATCCCATGTCCAAGCAACACAAAATCACAGAGGTTTAAGGCTAGAAAATACTTCAGTGACCTTTCTACTCCAACCTTTTTTTATTTTTTTATTTTTTTAATTTTTTTATTTTTGGGACAGAGAGAGACAGAGCATGAACGGGGGAGGGGCAGAGAGAGAGGGAGACACAGAATCGGAAACAGGCTCCAGGCTCCTAGCCATCAGCCCAGAGCCTGACATGGGGCTCGAACTCACGGACTGCGAGATCGTGACCTGGCTGAAGTCGGACGCTTAACCGACTGCGCCACCCAGGCGCCCTCTACTCCAACCTTTTATATTCAGTTGATTTTAACACAAAGTGACCCATAAGTCAGAGCCTTATTAGAAGAAAATTTTCAGGGTGCTTGGGTGACTCAGTCGGTTGAGCATCTACTCTTGATTTCAGCTCAGGTCATGATCCAAGGGTCATGGGATCAAGCCCCACCTCTTGGGGAGCCTTACTGGGGAGCCACTAAGCATGAAGCCTGTTTGAGATTCTCTCTCTCTTTCCCTCTGTCCCTCTCCCTCTCTCGCACACACACACTCTCTCTAAAATAACACAAAAATTTTAAGAAAGAAAAGAAAATTTGTTTATAGAAATGAGGCATGTGTCCCTTTGAGAATCGTGTTCTCCCACAAAGAGCAGCAAATCTAAGGAGCCTGTCCTGAGATGGTGCAAGGAGAGAATTATGATTGCAGACCCAGGAGAGCCACCAATCCAGGTTGTGAGGGGTAAAATTGTTCTATAAAGGTTCATAGAGAAGGTATAGGGGATATAATGGAAAGAAGACAAAGGTATATGTGAGATTAGGCTGTTTCTGGTGTTCAGAATACTCAGGAGGATTTGGGCTAGTCCACCTCTTTTAGATGAACAAACCGAAGCCCTCAGAGATGGGATTTACTTGTGCTCACACAGCTAGCCAGTGGCCAAGATTAGGGAACTAGGTCTCTAAACTTTTAGAAGACTTTCTGCCAATCACACTTACTTTAAATTATCTTTCTAGGTATAATCCCTAAATCCTCTAATTCTTTTCAACTATGATGCAGGCACTAAGAGACCACGGGCAAGATTTTCTTGTGGGCAACCAGCTGAGCTGGGCTGATATACAGCTCCTTGAAGTCATCTTAATGGCTGAAGAGTGCAAACCCAGTGTCCTCACAGGATTCCCTCTGCTACAGGCAATGCTCTCCAAATAACTCCCAAGAACTGCAGGAAGAATGAATTTTTATCATTTGCTTATACTTTCATTCAGTCATTCTCATTCTTATTCTCATTCTTATTAGCATTTAAGAACCTACTAACTTCTTTGTGCCAAGCTACAAAGATACCCTCAAAAAACACATCTAGTGGGTGAGACAAGCACATAGACAGATAACCTCAGTATAAGGTAGTAAATTTAAAAACAAAGTAAGATACAGGAAAGTAGAGGAAGGTCATGTGGGCCAGCATGGGGATCTGGGGCAGACTTCTGGCAGGACTCAAGTCTCAAAGGTTTTGCCTAGAATGTAGCAGAACCTCAATAAAATGGCTTTCTTTCTCTAGATAAGGTGGCAGGAAAACATTTAAGATATTCTCGTCCTAACACGGCAATTGTTTAACAATAACCAGAGCCACTGACTATACTCTTGTGTGCTAAGCATTGTACCAAGCACTGAAAGCACATTACTTCATTGATTTTATTTCATCCTCAAATGGGTAGGAAACGACTCCAAGAGGTCAAAGAACTTTCTTTCAAGTCACACTGTCAGTAGGTGACAGGACTGGTGCACAAACCCTCAGTCTGACTGATTCCATGGCCTGTGTTCTAAGACACTTTGCTATGTTCGTGGATTCCTTTCTAGCCTTTTAAATATATGCGTATTGAAAATAGTTGTATTCCAAGTTATGGTAATTCTGCAGTCTCCATTTCCCACTTCACATTACATTATACGCATATTTTGGTACTTTTATTTAGTTTGCCTCATTTTTATACAATATGGTATTATATTTTTGAACATTTTCATGATTATATAATATTCCATTTACTGTGCTCAGAATAACTTGCTATTTGTTATTTATTTTTGAGAAAGAGAGGGAGAGAATAAGCAGGGGTGGGGTGGGCAGAGAAAGAGAGGGAGAGAGAGAATCCCAAGCTGGCTCCTCAGTGTCAGTGCAGGGCTCGGTGATGCAGGGCTCCGTCTCACAAGATCATGACCTAAGCCAAAACCAGGAGTCGGACACTTAACCAACTGAGCCACTCAGGTGCCCCAGAACAACCTAATTTAAATAGTGAAAATCATAACAACTTAAATATTCAATACCTGAGGAGTGTCTACATAAATGAAGATACATCTATTGGGTAGAATTTTATGCACTTACCTAAAGGCATATTTTCAAAGATGACATAACAACATGGAAAAATGCTTATGACAGAAAATCCTTATGACTTAAGGACTTCTATTTATTAGTTAGACATCAGGATACTCTGGAGTATTTGCTTTTATGAACAATGCTGCAACAGCATCTTCATGGTTACAAATTTTTCCATATTTAAGATGATATCATTAGGATGCAATCTGAAAAATGGGGTCAGTTGGTTACAGCCTATGAACATTTTTGTGGTTCTTGAGAAATATTGCCAACTTGCTTTGTACAAGGCATCACAATGTATGAAAATTCCATTTTATCCTCTACCTCCACCAGCCATGAGGAATATAATTTTTAAACACTTTCTCTCGGATGCAAAAATGTGCAATGTTTGTATTTTGTCTATTTTGCCCTATTCTCTTTTCATGGATAGTATACTTCTGCATTTTAGGAGTTCAAGGCCAGAATCAGCTGCATTCCCACAATTCACAAATTTCTCCAGCTTGGAAGCCAAAGGAAGCCTCCACTAGATGAAGGCTCCATTGAGACCGTGAAGAACATATTCAAATTTGAACGTGGCATGTTTCTTTTTTTTTTTTTTTTTTTTTT